AAATGGATAGATACACAAAAATAGGAAGAGGTGTGAGACAAGGAGGCCTCTTCTTCCCAGATTTATTCAACCTCTACAGTGATGCTATCATAATAGAACTAGGGATCCTACCAGGATTTATTATTGGTAGGCATAATCGTAATAATGTTAGATATGCAGACGACACTGTGTTGATTGCCAATTCGCAAAGAAAACTACAGGACCTTCTAGACAAGTTTATAGAAGAAAACGAGAAAAATGAAACTATGAACTGTAAGAAGACAGGAATTCTAACGACTAGACAGACACCACATTTGTTCTTGATAATGACTGCGAAAGATAAAAGGAAAAAAAATAAAAACAATATAAACTTCAGACAGTTTATCCACAACTTTGAGAACAATACTCAACACCTTATCTGAAAATTGCAAAAATATAATAAAAAATTAAATGGACAGACATTGTCAGTTCTTTTTAATCAAAATTGTTTGGATGAATATTGCTGCCTAAATAATATCTCTCTCTCTCTCTCTTTGTCTCTACCGCGTATGTCTTATCTTTTTTTTTCTTTATCTTCCTTCTTTTTCCTGTGAAAGGACTTGTTAAATAGGTCAAAATGTCTGGCACCTTACTCTACCACTCTTACATATCTTAATAAAGATACATTCAAATATATTCCTATCTCTCCCTTCCCTTTCTAATTTCAATCATATTGGTCATCCTCCTCCTCTCTCCCTCTCTCTATCACCTTACATCAACTTAAAACTACCACTCAAAAACTTGTATAAAAATAATATGTTAAGTTTTAAATCATTTTCATTTATGCTTGGTAATGTAATCTGAGGAACCAGGAAAAAAATCTATGGATCCTTAAGGTTATCTGTTCTTTAATTTAACATATATAGTTTTTTAATGGTCAAGTTTGCTTTTATTTGTTCTTCAGTATGGTAGTAGCTGCATAAATCAGCAGTATTTGTTACTGCACTTTGGCATTTTTTTTACCAGATAATAAATTCAGTTTACGAGCCAGTACCAAACTTTTACCAAACAATTTTGGTAAGCTTTTGAATATTTACTATACAGGTGGACAGTTTGAAAGTTTTTCGGTGTGAAAGTGGGTCATGACACAAAAAAAGTTGGGGAACCCTGACGCTAAACCATTTCAAGGATTTAGTTTCCCAAAAAATACTAGTATGCAGACAAATGAATTCTAACAACTACACAGACATCACATCAATTCTTGATAATGACTGTGAAAGTCAAAAGTACTTGGACAAAAATAACAAAAGATGAACTTTGGACAGTTTATCCAAAACTTTGAGAAAAATACTCAACACCTTATCTGAAAATTGGAAAAAAAAAAAAAAAAAAAAAAAAAAAAAAATTTAAACAGACAGACCTTGTCAGTTCCTTTTTAATCGAACTTGTTTGGATATATATATATATATATATATATATATAAGTTGGATTGATGTGAGTTTGTAACCCTGGGTTTCATGCTATTTGCGATCATCAGACAAACTGATTAATTTTTAAATTTTGGATTTATATATGCCTGCATATATCGGTGTTTTTATGGTAGTGGGAGGAAAAATTGTCGCCGGAACGCCACTCATACTTACACAAACATACATACAAGCATGTTCACTCATTGACATACACAGACATACATACACACATACACGCATACTCACTCATTGGAGCTCACACAAACATAAACATCTGTGAACGGTGTGGGACTGGGCATATATGTGAATCTATGTGTTGTTGCATACATACGTACGCATTTGGTTGTTGTATTCAATGTTGGATTGTGCAGTGACTATCTTTAGTCTTTTTCGGTGTCAACACACAGACCGTTTGTCTATTTTGTTCACTGAATAATGTTTCCTCACACACATGTATGTGCGTATGATGGGGTCTGTGTAAGACTATGGTAGGTAAAAATTGGTACTATTTTTAATTTTTTAATGCTGTTTTGTTATTATTTTAAAGCCGGTTATTTAAAAATTAATCAGTTTGTCTGACGATCGCAAATAGCGTGAAACCAAGGGTCACAAACTCACATCAGTCCAATTAAATATGTTAGCTCTATCACTGATATTGAGCACTTTCCAATAAGTACCACACATATATAATATATAAATAATAAATATAAGAAATTGATATATATATATATATATATATATATATATATATATATATATATATATATATATATATATATACACACACTTTATATATATATATAATCAAACTTGTTTGGATATATATATATATATATATATATATATATACACACACACACACTTTACATATATATATATAATCAAACTTGTTTGGATAGAGATATATATATATATATATATATATATATTATGGAGACATGGTGGTGTAGCGATTCAGAATGAGCGTTCAGAGAGTCAAGTTCGAATTCCAGTCAAATCCATTACATTCACTTATGTGCGAATACCTTTGGGAAAGATATGAATCCTCTTCTTCTCTCTCCAGCTATGGATAAATAGCAGGACAGACTGGGTTCTATAGGAGAAGGACAACTCTGAATACAAAACCTGCGGAGAGTCACTTGGGGCCTTGTGGCATGTAGTGCAGCAGGTCTCTGTATTTGGCCCTTCAAAAAGAGTGGTTGGTTCTGCACAAAGCCTTCACTACTATAATCAAATCATATACACAGGTCTCTAGGCTGTCATTTCCTTGGAACTGAGATGCTTCACCCTCATACATTGAATACAACAGGAAAGTTCACTATATATATATATATATATATATATATATATATATATATATATATAATTTAATCATTTCACCTTAAGTATATGATGATAATGTTGCTAGGACACAGGCTGTTACGAAGTATGAAAGAGGTTGAGAAGACTTTAGTAAGACGTGAGGAAAGAACAATAAATAAACTGACTTGAGGAAGACAGAAGATGGCGATTGACATTGCATTTAAATTTTTGAAAATTGTAGGTGGCAATGAAGCAAGAAATCAGATGGAAGTTCCACAGGTGAGAAGTGCAAGAAAATAAACTGTTAGACTAGAACATTGGGTTGCATCTAGCTAGTTCATCAGTAAAATGGTGAGACCTAGTTGCCAATCTAGTAGCACATTTACATTCATGTAATTGGTTTACTAGGGGAAAAAAACTCCTCAGAACAGTTTCCATGGAAATATTTGTAGAAATGACAGAGAGAAGCCACATTATATTGGGGAGAAAGTGGCAGAAGTCAAGTAGCCAGGTCTGGATTGATTATATTATAGACCTTCTTTGAATTTTGCCAAGAATCTCAAGATGAATAGCAGGAGCACCAGACCAGATATGGCAGCAGTATTTGATGCATGGATGAATGGTAGATCTAAATGGTAAATGTGCAAGATGGATTCTGACTAGATAGATTTTCTGGCCCAACAGACTGAACCAATGTTTCTAGCAGTAGATATAGCAATTGATTCAATATAGTCATTTCACTTTATGTAAGCAGAAAATGTGAGCCCCAGGAGGTGTAGTGTTGCTCACTTAGAGATTAGCATCGGCCATATATATATATATATATATATATATTTATTATGGAGGCATGGTGGAGTAGTGGGTAGCAGCTCAGACTAAGTGCTCAGAGAGCCGAGGTTCGAAATACAGTCAAATCCATTACATTCACTTATGTTCTAATGCTGTTGGGGAAAGGTATTAATCCTCTTCTTCTCCCCCCAACTATGTATAATTAGCAGGATATACCAGGTTCTATAGCCTTGGAAGGAAACTGGTTTACTGCAGAAAGAAATAGCAACCTACAGTGGGAAAAAGGAGTAATGGATAGTGGCTCGGATTGAGGAATCGGACAGCTGATGTTTGAAAAAACAGTCAAATCCATTACATTCACTTACGTGCTAATACCCTTGGGAAAGGTATGAATCCTCTTCTTCTCCCCACCCAGCTATGGGTAAATAGGACAGACTGGGTCCTATAGCCTTGGATAGAAACTGGTCTAGGAGAAGCACAACTCTGTCATTTCTCATGTTTTGAATTCAGAGGAAAGCCATGTCATCTTGGGGAGAAAGTGACAGAAGTCAAGTAGCCAGGTCTGGATTGATTATATTACAGATCTTCTTTGAATTTTGCCAAGAATCTCAAGATGAATAACAGGAGCACCTGACCAGATATGGCAGCAGTATTTGATGCATGGATGAATGGTAGATCTAAATGGTAAATGTGCAAGATGGATTCTGACTAGATAGATTTTCTGGCCCAACAGACTGAACCAATGTTTCTAGCAGTAGATATGGTCATTTCACTTCATGTAAGTAGAAAATGCCTCAGTACAAACAGTCCTTTCCTGAGCTGCATAGTACATGCTTCACCAGGGCTACATACAGTTTTGAATTCAGACTTTTCCTTCTCCTAGACCTGTTGCCTACCAAGGCTATAGAATGTTCTATTCTTTAGCCATAGCTGGAAGGGGGGGGGGGAAAGAGATGGATTCATACCTTTTCCAAAGGTATTAGCATGTAAGTGAATATAATGAACATGACTGGAATTTGAACTCAGCTCTCTGATTCCTCAATCCAAGCCGCAATCTATAACTCTACAATGCCTCTGCGAGTGTAAGTATATTCCTTGTTTTAGTGATATTTAGTATGAAAGCCTATTATTTAATTAGGAGCCAAAAACCAGCAAATTTCATGGTGTATTTTTCATTAATTTATGAAGGTGTTTTATGTAAAATAAATTAATATCCAGGTCTCTTACAATAGAGAGCTAGTCTAGTGAGTTGATTCCTCATTGAGTGCTCTATACTTATAACCTTCTGCCAAACATAGACAAATTTAGTAAATACTTATATATCTATATTGTCTCCTGTTTAAGCATGTATATAAATTATTAACTATATTTCCACTTTTGTGTTATCTCTCCATTTATATCTCTGTATATCTGTATTTTTTTTTATTATATCTATCTATCGCAATCTATTCAATATCTATCTATCTATATATATATATATAGGCTTAAACACCGGTTCCTGTATGACCACTAAAGTTAAGCAATCTTGAGCCTGGTCAGCACTAAGATGGAGGACTGCTTGGGAACACCATGTGCTGTAAGCTTGGATGTGGGGATGGTGTAATTATGGTTGGGAATTGTTAATCAGAGAGTGAATTCCAATTTCAGTTGGGTTTGTTATACTCACTTACATATTCAAATACCCTTGGGAAAAGTATGAATCCACTTTTTCTACCCCAGCTATGGGTTAATTAGTAAGACTATTATCACTAAATATTATCTCAGAAAAAAATTCTTGCAATCTAAAAATATTTTCTGGCTTTAAATAACCTGCAATGTGTTGATAAACTGTAGAAAACCAATCAATGAATCTATTTATATGTCTATCTATCTTCTATCTATACCAGTCTTCTATTTATATTCAAGTGTAGGATTGGTGTATATGGAATAAATTCCAATAACCAAAAAATACTATTCTTAAGAGTGCTCAATACAGAGTAGAGAAAATATAATTTATTTGAAAATTATAACATTCAACACCATCACTTGATAAGACACCAGAAGTGTTGAAACAAAATCGCTATTTTTGTAGTGATTTTATAACATATTTATGTTATAATTTTCCAATAAATTGTATTATATATATATATATATATATATATATATATATATATATATATATATATTTATTTCCATCTTCTATCAATATTTAACAGCACCCCCACGAGGGATGTATATAGCACAAGGCTGAGTTTACTGTGGGTTCTCTGATCCCATAGGCTTGGCCAAAAATATTCCCATAGAACCTACCCTCATAATTGGGTTCGGGTCTGTCTACCTCCCTGGATGAAACTCTGCCCTTCGGCACAGCCTTGTTTGGGTTCCTCTCTGCCCAAAGGCAGATCATTTGACAGCAGCCGCGAACAGTCACCATCTTCTATTTACATCTATCTAGCTATTCATCTTCTATTTATATCTATATATCTATCTATCCCATACCTATGAACACTAATGGATATGTCCCAATCTTCATAAATATATTGGGCACTATTGTAAGTGGAGGGTAATATGTTGTCTAAGTAGTCCACCACTAGCAGTGGTTTACCTACTTCACACCGCTGGCGAGTATTGTATTTTGTTGATGTTATAAAGATTAACATTTCATTTCCAACCCCCGTTTTGGTTATTCCTCATTCAGTAACGCTTTCTAGATTACAACAACGATCATAGCTCTCAATCAATTTTTAAAAAGTGAAAACATAATAAATGAAGCATATTTTGGAAAGCCTCGTTTGGTTTCTAAACAAGTTGCGATGACATTTTCGAGAGAGAATACGAATAAATCAGTCAATTGTTCGAGCAAGAGAGGAACCTGGTCGAGGCTTTGCCAAATGGCAGAGTCTCATCCGGGGACGTCCATAGATACCCAATTCTGCATATGCGGTGTCTACGGGCAATTTTTGCCTGAACCCATGGGCTCGGATTTCCCCACATTAAATTTGGCCTTGTGCCGCATCTTGCCTTGTGGGGAGGCAGGTTAATATCATAACATGCTGTCTAAGTATTGTATTTTGTTGATGTTATAAAGATTACCATTTCATTTCCAACCACTGTTTTGGTTATTCCTCGTTCAGTAACCCTTTCTAGGATACAACACTATCTATCTATCTATTTATAACAATGTTCTCTGTATATTTATGCAACTGGTTTCTAATTCTGGTGTTCCCATGTTGGATGGAATCAGTTTCAAATCAGTCAAGGTGATGTCATATAAATGGTGAAGCTGAAATTTTTATTTATTTATGTTTTTTAAACATCCTTCAATATATTATTAATATGATCCTCTACACACACAGAGAGAGAGAGAGAGAGAGAGAGAGAGGACTTATTTAATGTTGGTTGTTTTTCTTTTATTACAACAGCCTCCAGAATTTGGAGTTGTCCTTTTGACTCTGTCCAATATAAATATTTCAGTGTAATCTAAAATTTGACTGATGTTAATATTATTTTCTTTATTCATCATATGTTCATCTATATGTGCACAAATTACACTAATACATACATACATACACACACACACACACACATACATATATATATATATATATATATATATATATATATATAAGTAGAATTTTAGTATGTTGTGCTGGCATTGGTATTACTACTGATCTCTACTCTTTAGTATAATAAGAGAGTTACTGCTGTGAGCATCTGTTCCCCATGACTAGGCACCTTTCAATAATATTTTTAGTTGCCCTCTGCCCGAAGACAGAGACACAATGAGTTACACTCTGTTCAAAGACAGAAATACAATTAAGAGATAAAATGTAGTTTGTCCACCTGAAGACAGATAGCACACTTTGATCCCAACCTGATGAAAAATATATATAGTAGCTTGGTCAATGAATGCCGAATGTTTTTTTAATCCACACTAAGCAAGCCAATAGTGCCACTAAGACACAAGGGGTTATTCAGAGAATATGAGAAAAACTACTATTAAGGAGAGAAGACAATAAAAGAACAAGAATTAAGAAGACAGAAGATAACGATTGACATTGCATTTTAATTTTTGGAGATCAAAGGCAATAAAGCCACTAGGACATAAGGGGTTACTGAGTGTTAGAAGATAAGAAAAAACTACTATTAAGGAGAGAAGACAATAAAAGAACAAGAATTAAGAAGACAGAAGATAACGATTGACATTGCATTTTAATTTTTGGAGATCAAAGGCAATAAAGCCACTAGGACATAAGGGGTTACTAAGTGTTAGAGAATATGAGAAAAACTACTATTAAGGAGAGAAGACAATAAAAGAACAAGAATTAAGAAGACAGAAGATAACGATTGACATTGCATTTTAATTTTTGGAGATCAAAGGCAATAAAGCCACTAGGACATAAGGGGTTACTGAGTGTTAGAGAAGATGAGAAAAACTACTATTAAGGAGAGAAGACAATAAAAGAACAAGAATTAAGAAGACAGAAGATAACGATTGACATTGCATTTTAATTTTTGGAGATCAAAGGCAATAAAGCCACTAGGACATAAGGGGTTACTGAGTGTTAGAGAAGATGAGAAAAACTACTATTAAGGAGAGAAGACAATAAAAGAACAAGAATTAAGAAGACAGAAGATAACAATTGACATTGCATTTAAATTTTTGAAGATCAAAGGCAATAAAGCCACTAGGACATAAGGGGTTACTGAGTGTTAGAGAAGATGAGAAAAACTACTATTAAGGAGAGAAGACAATAAAAGAACAAGAATTAAGAAGACAGAAGATAACGATTGACATTGCATTTTAATTTTGAAGATCAAAGGCAATAAAAGCCACTAGGGACTAAGGGGTTACTGAGTGTTAGAGAAGATGAGAAAAAACTACTATTAAGGAGAGAAGACAATAAAAGAACAAGAATTAAGAAGACAGAAGAGAATGATTGACATTGCATTTCAATTTTTGAAGATCAAAGGCAATAAAGCCACTAGGACATAAGGGGTTACTGAGTGTTAGAGAATATGAGAAAAACTACTATTAAGGAGAGAAGACAATAAAAGAACAAGAATTAAGAAGACAGAAGATAACGATTGACATTGCATTTTAATTTTTGAAGATCAAAGGCAATAAAGCCACTAGGACATAAGGGGTTACTGAGTGTTAGAGAAGATGAGAAAAACTACTATTAAGGAGAGAAGACAATAAAAGAACATGAATTAAGAAGACAGAAGATAACGATTGACATTGCATTTAAATTTTTGAAGATCAAAGGCAATAAAGCCACTAGGACGCAAGGGGTTACTTAGTGTTAGAGAATATGAGAAAAACTACTATTAAGGAGAGAAGACAATAAAAGAACATGAATTAAGAAGACAGAAGATAACGATTGATATTGCATTTACATTTTTGAAGATCAAAGTTGACTTAGAAGCTGGAAGTGAATTGCACAAATGAATTCTCTCTCTTCCACTGTACTTAAATAAAGCTTGTTGTGAGTAAGTTTTCTCTCTCCTTAAACCTGTGTCTGTCATGGTCTTTCAATGACTTAATGCAACAAAGACCATTCTTTTTTTTTCATCATTTTACACCAAGTGAGGCAATAAAGCCACTAAGATGCAAGGGCTTACTGTGGATGGAAGAATAGAAAAAAATCATTATTAAGGAACAATAAAAGAAGAAGAATCAAGAAGACAGTAGATAACAATTGATACTGCATTTAAATTTTTGAAGATCAATGTTAACTGGGAAGCAAGAAGCCAGAAGTGAGTTCCACAAGTGAGAAGTGTGATAGAAGAAACTTACAGTTACATCTAACCATTTCAATTGTTAAATGATGAGACCTATCTGCCAATCTAGTACTGTACTTAAATTCATAAAGTTGAAGTAACATAGAGGAAAACTCATCAGAACAATTACCATGAAAATATTTATAGAAAAGGCAGAGGGAAGCAAGAAGCCAGAAGAGACTTCCACAAGCAAGAAGTCTGAGAAAAGAACTTATGGTTACATCTAACCTATTGTAAAATGATGAAACTGCGTTTCCAATCTAGTACAGTACTTATATTCATAAAGTCTAGTTGCCATAGAGGAAAGTTCATCAAAAAGTATTTATAGAAAAGGCAGAGGGAAGCCACATTATATAGCAGAGGGAAAGTGACTGAAGCTGAGATGCCAGGTCAGATTTTCTTTCCATATAAGGAAACAGCTAATATTAGCCATTGCCTTTGTTTTATTTTCTCAGTATTTCATGTAATTTAATACTTTTTGTTGTCTTTGCACAGAGGTGACCTTAGCAACGATAAATAACTATGTCCTTCCATTTAGCTTAAAAACAAGGTACGAAAATAATTATTCTTTTTTTGCACCTGCTTTTCATATTTATTGGAACCTGGTTTAGAGACATGGCCTTCTGTGTTTGAGATTCCAGATTACTCAATCGTGTAAGTGTTATTCACTCTGAATGTTTTCATTTCTGGCTCTGTGGAATTGGCCAAAAGGCAAGAAGTTTGACTACGTGGAAAAAGACTGATAAAAGAAAATAACTTGAATCTTACAAGTTCATGATGAAAACAGTCCTTTGCTGAAACCTTTAGAAAGGATAAAC